CTGGATGATATAACTAGATGAACAAGTCCCGTGCCACATATTTTACTTAGAACTAGTCATAAAAAGAAAGAAAGAAGGAGAGAGAAAGAGAGAGTGAGGGAGGAAAAGAGAGACAGGTAAAGAAGATTTCACCACCCACAGATGTAGGGATTGATTCACGGACTCTGGCGCAGGTAAAACCAAAGACCTTTATTGTTTACACATTTGTGCTTATATAGATTCACTAGCTGTCCATGCACTCTAGTTTGTTCATGGATTGGTTAACCCCTGCTGTTCACACGCCGCGGCTAAGCTTTTAATTGGTGCTGTTAATCAAGACACGCATCTTCTAGTGATGCGTCTCACAGCTGTGCTTCAAAACATTTTTATCTTCAGTTCCCTTTCTGTTTGCTTCATTACTTGCTTTCTCTGACTATTTCCTTCAAGGCTATGTTGTTCAAGGTCGCTCGCAACACTCCCTGTGAATCCCAGACATGGATCCAGCGGTATCCTGTTGGTCCTCTTTCTTCTGATGTTTCCATGGTGGATGTCCCTCCCCAGCTTCTGGTGTTACCCTTTTTATACAGTTCAAGTCCCAAAATCTCTGCCTGGTTCCAGGAAACTTCATGCATATGCATAGTGGGCATGATGCAACATAAGGTTGGGTGTGGTCTGGTTCAACACAGGTTCTGTGCATCTGGGTGATCACAGGGAGACAGTTTCAGGGATCGATGAGACCCTCACCCAAGGTTGGTGAACTAGCACCCTGCCCATGTGCAATTAGCTGTTGTCCAGTTCTTTGCAGGGCCAGCACATCTTATGCACCAAAAATGTTTAAGGCAAATACCCGCTCATCTGTCCGCCACACTAGCCCAACTTCTACATCCTAGAGAGAAGACAACTGTAGTTTAAGAACAAGTTGTCATAGGATATTTTGTTTATCTATTTTATTAAAGTTGTCTTCTCTCTTTTTTAAAAAGAAGTGGTTGTTATATCACTTCATATTTGCACTGGAACAAAACAGAACATTAGTGCTGGAGTGTCTCCCAGACATGCAACCTTCCCAAACTTGTCTTTTTTTGTAGGATTCAACGAGATGGCACATGTGTGAATCTTTGCCTTGCTTCACTTCTATTTGGTGCATTGGGAAATGAGAATATCAAACATGACAGAACTGGCACATCTTTCTTTATCTACCAGATTTATTCCATATTTTAAAGCATACAAATCAGTATTATTGATTCCAAGGCATAACTGACAGAGAGCTCTCCAGATTGGAGTGTTTGTGCTTTACTGTTTAAGCCTATAAGGCACAGACCCTGGTATGTATAAGCAATATATTTAAACAAAGAATGTAAGTACACATTAATAATTGGCATATAGTTGACATCTCTGGCCATAGAAGGAGCCCTTGTGTCTGGAAGATTGTGCTTTATGTGCAGTAAAATATAAAAATTTATAGCACGTCTCACAGCGGATTATTAAGATTGTGTAAACCTTATTCGTACAGATCAGATCAGTTATCACACTACATCTAATGGGAAAGCTCTGTTGAACGCCACAAACTATTTTGGGCTTGAAATTCAATTTTTTGTCATATAAGTTTTGATGGAAAGCAAAATCCTTGACAAAGACAACTTCAAAGCTGTGGGAGTCAGATTTTAGTGTGGGTTGTCTCTGATGTCCTGAGCATGAATATCCCACCTTGTTTTTCTTAATCAACTGACTCAGCAGAGACCAAACTCGCCAGGACCATGGGAGAGTGGGCTCTCTTGTTGAGAGGGAAGAAGCCTTTAGCTCTCACCAGTCTTTCTCATAAGGTGAATGCAGTAAAGGTGAGCAATTGATTGATAAAGAGAAAATTCCTGTTACTAGGTCTACACAAGCATAAAACCCTGGGCTAACATGAAAGTTTTTGTTGCCTGATAATTAATCTATGTGCAAATTGGATAAGTAATTTTCACAAAATATCAGTTTGGGTCGGTCTGTCTCCTCCACCACTTGTTTTGTCAGAGCAAGATCATATTTCTTGTCGTTTCTCCCAACTCTTTGTGACTCTCTGGTCTCTGCACTTGTAGGAACCCTGGCAAGTGGTCTGGCTTCTGTCTCCCATCCCAGGGACCTGCTCCAGCTTTTCTTATCAGCTCCCCTGGCTGCAGTGTCCCTGCTGTGGCCCTGGGGCTCCACAAAGGGTGGAAGGAAAATTGTGGGAGGATACCTAACTGCAGACCTTCACCTTCCTAGGAGGAGAGACAGCTGTTTCGCTGACTCTACTATCATGTTTGAATTGTTGAGTCTGCTGCTGCCTTGTAGACTGCTTAATATTTTATTTAGAACTGAGGAGCTTGTAATATTTCTGTAAAGATACATCGTGTGTGAGGCTATCCAGATTTAACACCTTCTGTACTTTAGTGATATAATAAATAACACTATATTTTTATGATGAAACTCGCTGTTTTATCTACTTAGAAACATACTTTCTGAAAAAAAAAAACATGTGAAGACTGTTTTTATCAGGCCTCCAAGGTCTACTTCTATAAAAAAAAAGTTGATTTTTTATAAACTGAAAGAGGGTAAAAGGCCATACACGTAACAGAGAGGAAAATGCACCTGGCAGGGACTGCTGTTGAGAGCACAGAAAACTGCTTTCTTGACCATTTGAAATACTTTAAAATGCAATTAAAAAGCAAACTATTTGCTGAGATACAGTAAAACCTTATGATTTTCACATTTTTTGCAGCCAAGTAAAATGCATTCTAAACCACTTCAAGCTTTTTAGTATCTTAAACAACAGCTCTAGAAGAAATCAGTCTTTTTTAAATTGGAGAAGACATGGTTAACAGATATGTAGTGTCTGGTGCTTGTAATTGGTGGTGGAGAAATCCACTGCAGTAAAATGGTATGTGAACAGAATACATATTCTGGTAAAATGCCTTTTAAAACCGCAGACATATTTTTAAATGGATCAAATATTTACATTTTATTAATATTTTACTGAAGTATACAACCTTGTATTGATTAAATAGGTTAAGTTCTAAACACTGACAAACTGTAAAAGAAATACTTTTTGAAAAGTACTAGAAACGTGAGACCTCAAGTGTGTTCTTGACCTAGTGCTAGTCAATAAATTTATCTGTTCTTTGTGAGAAAACAGTATAACTGGTAAAGTTTACATGTCTAAATATTTGTAGACTGATAAATAATTTTTAAAAGCATTGGTAAATTATATAAGCTGCATAAACTTAGTCTTCTCAAAGAACACTTTGAAGATACAGGCAATCTAGCTCAAAAAAAAGTGCCATTTGCAGTTGTAAAGCTGGCAGCAGGGGTCTAAGGACAAAGCCACCCCATGGGGAGGTGTAGAAGCACAGAAAGCCAGAAGGGCAGTGGTAGTGCTGGCACCTGGTGCAGAGATGTGTGAATATAGCCCCTGAGCAGACTTGAAAATTATTTATTTGACATACAGTGTTTTCACAGAATCACAGACTGGTTGAGGTTGGAAGGGACCTCTGGAGGCCACCTGATCCAAACCCCTGCTCAAGCAGGGCCACCTACAGCCAGTTGCCCAGGATATGTTTTATTACATTTGCAGGCATTTAGGTTAAAATAGAGTGCTTGTCAGTAAAGAACAGGGAAAATTTGTAACAAATGCTATGTAAGTAGCTGCAGGCTTGATAGTTACACATGCATGTGCCTGGGGTATGTTTATACTGTAGATAAATATTGCCCATTAATCTTTCTGTTGCCTTTTTCTATTTTCCTTTCAGTACACCAATTGGCTTGTGTTCACAAGTTCGGAAACAGGCTCATAGAATATTAACAAACTTAATCGAATTTCATAGGTCTCTGGGTAAGTTGTGTGTGACAATTAAAATTTCTTCATGGGTATTGTTAAATGCTGGAAGAAAGATTTCAGAATAGTCTTTTGATGCTGTCACAATCCCATTTCAGGTCCCCTGGGAGGAAGGTGGGAGCAGCACTTACCACTGATCTATTTTGTCATTTGGGCCACAGGTAGGGCAAACTTGCAGATGCATCAAAATGCGTGGCTTGTGTCAAAAAAATAGTGAAAACAAAAATGAGTGAACAAAAATTACATCAAAACATTTCATTTGGGCACTTTCAAAAGAAAATATTTTGATCTTTCATTTTGTAATGACATTTTCAACACTAAACTTTAAGTGAAGTTGCTCAAAAATGCAAGCAAAAGTTTGTTTCTTCCCATGCACTTTTTTTTTTAATATATATATAAATTCTTTCATTTTGCTTAAACAAAATGTGTCTAGTTTGACCTGAAACTGTTTTTTAGAGATTGAGGATGATTTCAGTCTGCGGAAAGAAGGATCTTCCAGACACATCTCTCTATTTATGAAACGCACCTATGAAAGAGAAAAACAAGGAACTTCTCTATTATGTGATCAGAATGGCAGTCAAGCATTGATGAAGCTGCTAGGATACAATGTGTGTGGCCAGAGTCTACTCGTTCCAGAGTACAACCTGCTTCCCTGTGTCCATCTCTTTCAACATCGGTTGTCTTCCAGACTGGTCAACTCAAAGCATTTTTTTGATCCAGTAAACCTCTTCTACCCCAGCCACACAGGTTAGCAACATCCAGATCAGTGTTTTTCTCTGATTAAGAAAAAGGGGACAATTGGGATATTAACAATTTCCTCCTTGCATTGCACATCCCAGAGAAGATCTTTCAAAACACTGTGGCTGTTGGAAGGTGCTGTCCTAGTGGACAGCTTTCTAAATCTCACTTTCTTCAAAGACTTCCTCAGTTGTCTCTCCAGTGGTGACTTCTCCTTCGCTGCTGTCTGACATGCTTGCCCCTGGATGAGATGGGAGAGCATAGCCTGGCTCTGGGCTGAGATCTGTCCTCTGCTTCACTAGCACCTGCTGGAGCTGCATGCCCCAGGGCTCACTTGCCTCTAGGCACAAGTGGTGTTTGCTGCTGAGGTGCTGGGTTTTTTGTTTCTGTGAACATTTCCTGAGGTATTTTATGTTTTCCCCAAGAAAACAGAGTCTACAGCCAAAGGGATCTGCCAGCAGGAAGCGGGACCACTGCTTCTGGAGCTCTGCTTTCACCTGGGGAGAGAAGAAATCAGTCTGTCCATGGTGATGACTTGTGATGTCTTGTTACCACCCCGCAGTCCACTCACCCAAATGCTAGTTGTAAAATGAGAGGGACTGTGGAAGTGCTGAGCTTTCTGCCCTTTGGAGTGCACCTCACACCTGGCGAGGTCCTCGTAGGGTAGACTTGTTTGCTAAGTCAATCTTAAGAGTCCACACTCTTCACTCTACCTTAGAAAAGTTTTTACTAGCCCCTAAATCTCTGATACACTGTGATCCTAATGCATGTGTGTGGGAGAGCTCAAGCAACTTTCATGTTTATAGCCTGATGAAGTGAGGAGGAGGAAAGCCCAAGGACTGTCGAAATGAGCTTGTAGCAAGTCAGTGTGATAAGCCAAAGGCAGCATGCAACTGTGATGGTGATGAAGGCACTGTGTTGTACAGGCAGGAGCAGAGCCAGTAGATCAAAAGAAGTGATTGTTCCCCTTTACTCAGTAACTGTTAGATTACCATCTAATTTCGGGCCTCCATTACAAGAACTGTGTTGATAAACCTGAATTTATCAACAGAGATCAGGGCTTGAGCACTTGCCCTATAAGGAGAGGCTGAGTGAATGGGGCTCATTCATGCTGAAGACCTCAATACTGCCTATGAGATGATCATGGAGGAGATGGAGCCAGGCACTCTACAGAGGTGTTTGTTAGGGGCACAAGAGACAGTGATCATAAACAGAAATAATTTGGGGAAGTTCTAACAGAACATATGAAAAAGATGTTTCCTTCTGAGTACAGTTGAGCACTGGAACAGAGGACCAGAGAGGTGGTGGAACCCCTGTCCTTGGGGAGTTTTCGAAGCTCAGCTGGACAAAACCCCGAGCAACCTGGTCTGAATTCAGTCTTCACTCTACATACAGCTTTCTCTGCTGTCATCTCCTTGCATAAGAGCCATCACTGATCTGCCTAAATCCTAACATGGAGCAAATTAAACCCTCAGCTGTCTCTTGAGGCATAGCAGGAGACAATTTCCACACAAGGGACCCCCTCACATCAAGTTTAGGGATGTCCTGAACGGTGCATGCATGAAATTATTTTTTCAACATATTGCTCTCTAAGATATTAAAGCATTCCAAATTTGGTTGCTTCACATGGACTTTAGGGGTAAACTAAGAGAGGGTTTAACCTGGCCAAACATGAAGTCTGAGATTCCAGCTGATTAAAGGAGTGGGGCTTAGGTGGCTGACCATAAGCCTCTACTGGTATTTCAGACACCCCAGGGTATCCATAACTCCACAGTGCTATAGCAACTCAGGCTTCAGTGGAAATACTTTGCTTTTGAATCCCAAAGCTATGAGAGGTCTTGCTGTTCTCTTTGTACAAAACTATTACAAAAAAATGCATGCATGCTCTTCTTATTCAAGAGCTAGTCAGTGTGTTCAACCTTCTTGGTGTCATCAATATACTTTACTAATCAACTAAAAACTTTTCTCATAGCATTGTCTCTTACCTCTCCATTAGCAAAGCAATATAAAACTGCTACAAAAAAACCCTGTAAGAGAAAGACAGTAAGAGGAAAAAGTTAGAGTGTACAGGAAATACCTGAAGTCTTAGTTTAAAGATTACATTAATGTTAAAGCCATAAGTACAAACAATACTTCTTAATTTTCAAAAAAGAAACAAGTTGCCTGTATTTACTTATTATTGAAATACCCATTAACTTGTTTTTGTAGGATGCCTTAGCAAATGTAGGGCACATTTGGTGCAGATGCTGAAGAACAGAGACTATACAACCTAGTTTGCTCACCCATGTTATCTGCATTTTGCTACCACATCATATTTTTTTCAAACACCTGCTGTTATACTGTGACTACTGCTATTTCTAAACATGGTAAAACAAAAAAACGCAGCTTGGGGGTCTCATATTATCCATGTGCTTGTTTGAATTTGTGAATGAGACTACTGAGGGGGATCTCATTTGGGTGCTTTTTAAAAATTAGTGATATATTAAGTGATTGGTGTTAGTTTAAGGCTTAACTGCATTAAGTGTTACAGCTATTTTGAATTGCCAGTTTTTCCTCTGAAATTGATTTAAATAAACACCTTTAAAAAATGTAAATCCTACAAATAAAACTTGTTTTAAACCAACCCCAGAATTACTCTTTCCATTTTCCTCCACTCTCTCTGTATTTGATCACAGATCAAAACAGCTTACATCCATTCATCTCAGCCTAACAGTCTTGCACAGATATGCAGATTTATTACCATTGCACTTCTTTTGGTATGTCTGAACACATCTATGACACAAGTTCTGATGAAGAGAATAAATACTGTTGACTATCAGTCCCAAGGCAATGTTCGTACCACAAATAAAAAAGTGTCATAACCATATATAATACAGCTGACATCATTCAATTGTTTTCACACCCATGCTTTTCCAGAAATGTTACTGTTTTTCTCAGACAAAAGGTTAAAAAGAAATTCACATACACAGCAGCTTCAATATTTTTTTTGTATCTAGTGTTAACCAATAGCATTTTAAGCCTACTGTTAATTTTCTAGCAATCCTGAAAGATTTGAAGCCATTAATTCCTTAAGGATATGTGCAATAAATATGAAAAATAACAGTTTATCTGCCACACCAGTGGAAACAGAGGCAGGAGAAACAGCAATCACAGTTGCTTTTTCCATGTATTTTCTTTCTACTATATTTCATGCTTCACCTGGGTTATGGTAACAAAATATAGATAATTCTGACATGTCATTTATCAAAGTAAATTTTAAATAATCCTATGCATCTGAATTATTTCACAGAAAATATGCAAAAAAAATCACAACATATTGTGGTCATTAGAGTTTATAATAGATTATATTTTACTATGGGGATAAATTTTAGAATAATAGTTATAGTAGACTCAGAAACCAGGGAGAAGGAGTCTGATGGATAAATACAAATTTAATAGCTTAAAAAGAAGCTTTTTATGCAGAACTACTTCTGCACCTGGAGGTACTTCTCTTTTTTGCATAGGAAGTCCATGAAAATGTCTCTACTGGGTGGGGTTTTTTTGTGTTCTGAGCACAAGCTCTAAATTTGGCCTCACAGGCACCAGAAGCAGAAATTAGATCTAAACTACGTGGTGCTGTTAAGTCCTGTGACTGCGAAACCTGATGATACCCACTGCCAAAAATTTAGAAACTCACCAGATTAGGAGAGGACTTCGTGAATACTAGTGGTACCTCTATGTTGAATGTAAGTTTGTAAATCCCTATATGAATTTAGTCCACTGCTGCTGCAAGATCAGAACATGAAGTGACAGGCAGGAGCACTGTAAAATCATACCAGAAGGTGGAAAATTCAGCTGATTATTCATTTTTGATGTTCATTGTATACCCTAATTTCTTTAATGCTTCCTCATATTCATTTTTTTTGCAATACCTGGAACTTCATACTTAGAAATCTTTCCCATATGTCATGCCTTCTAAGGCATACATTTTTAAAATGATCACAGTGTGAGAGAAAAAGAATGAGAAATTCAGAAGAAATATTCATTAGCATAATAACCAATAGGAAAGAACAGAGGCATGTGTAAGCTTCACAATTGTTCTTCAGTTTTATTGACAATGGCAACATGATAAATTACTTATTAAATAACTGGGGTTTATCTACCAGAAACCAGTATTTTTTCCAGTGGCTAACACTTCTCATGCACCAGTGAGCCAAGATGTTTAGATTGTTCTGCTTTCTAAAGCAAAGTAGCATCATATCTACAGCAGAACTCATACTTACAATTTAATTTTGTGCTCCTTGAAAATATTTTAGTTAAAACCTCCAGATGAGACCCCAGAGGTAATTATTTTTCTTTAACAAAACAGTTTAACTGCTTTCTCAAACTACTGAGAAGATTTACAGACTAAACAAATGTAATTGTGTACAGCTTATGTACTTTTTTGCTAATCCCTTCACAAATAATGCTGTAGCTAAAAAAGAGAATCTGCAATAAACATTATCTAAGATCTTTGGGTATTTTGAAAAGAAGTTTTGCTAGAAGCATGCCATGTAGCCAAGTGTGTGCATGTTCCTCTAAAAGGAAAGAAGTTTGTGTTTTCTAGCAGGGATGAGTAAACTATCTTCTATATCAGATTTCTTTGTACAAGCCAGTAAATAAAATTTTCACTTAAAATGATTCTGTGTTTCTTAAAATAACATTGAGTCACTGTAACGTCGCCAAGAAAGGATATGTCTAACTGAGGAACATGTACTTCAACACCATGTCAGCAGACCCCCTTAGGGTGATGGATATACATGAACTCCCTTCTGCCTGCCTGAACATTTTTCCCCTCAAGTAGCAGTGGAAATTTTTAATTAAAGCCTCAATAACAGTGTCAAAGCACTGATGCATACATATGCCAGTGCATATAAACAGGTTAAAAATAAGGATCACCATAAATTGTAGGGCAAGT